GTCATAGTATAAATAGAGAGGGAAGTCTAAAGTACCATGTTTGTAATATCCCTCATCTAGAAGCCCTTTATATGTCAATTAAGTACACAAAGGAGTAACCATATCCAGCTGCAGTGAAACACCAATCTTGTAAGTTAAAAAATGAGAAAATATAATATAAATAAAATGAAAATAAGATGCATTATCAAGAAATAAAACATTACCACCAAGAACGCATAATTAATCAAAACAACTAATTAATCAGATGCAATTTTTCATCTATCAAGAAATTAATAAACATTTTCTCTTGCAAAATAATCAAATTATTCATGTTTCATAAGTTAAAAAAATTGAGTTGCATTTTTATATAAAGGAAAGGCATGTTAGTATATAAAAATACCTCTATGTCCAGCATGATAAGTGTATTTATGTCAGGGACACCTTCCAATCCGGATGTTGATTTTTCCTAGACAACATCAAGATAATTACAAACTTTTTAAAAATGAGAGAACTTTTTGTATGATATGATTTGATAATTTAATATTAGTAGGTTTGGAGCAAGAATACCCCTGGATAAACTATTAACACACATGCAATAAGTACTCTGGATTTACACAAGTAACAATACATAAGGGTTTGCTGCAAGAAACCAACTTTATGCAAAGGTACCCTCTCCCAGCAATTATTTTTCATCCAACTTAAGTGTCTTCATAACAAAAATAAAATTTTCACTGTCAAAGACAAATGTAAAAGTATATAAGATAAGAATTTACATGAGAAGACACAATTTCATGTTCACCAATGTAAAGTAAGAACAAAAAGTTGTCGAGTCATTTACAATTTATGATATTTGAAATACAAATATAGTCCATATTCTGTAGTAACATGTATCAAGAAAAGTTTTCACATCAATTCAAACAAATAATACTCATGGTGTAGTAACGTTGCAATAGGTCTTGAGCATTCACCTGTAAGAATCATTTGATATGAAATATACCTTCTTTTACTTCAATTTTGGCAACTTAAAACCATCACTGAGACTTCAAGTTGGTTAAAACTGATTATGGTTATGATTTTCAGCTTACTTAAGATCAAAACAATAGCAATTTCAAACAAACACAGCAAGTGATGTGAATTACACCTCTAGAACACAATTAACACTAAATCTTGACAACTAAAACGATCTACAAACAACAATACAGTCATGTAAACTGAAAAAAGTTACATACACACACCCGAATCTCATATAGATAAAAAAAATTAACAAAATAATAAAAGAGTTCAGCAAACACCCATGTGGGCCATGATCGAGTTATCAAAATTTCAATCGGGTCGAAAGGGGGAGCGGAAAATATAATACCTTTTGTTGAAGACATTTCGTCAAATATCTTGCATGAAATGTGATATCTTCCTCCCATTTTCAATTCATTTAAAACGAACCAATAAGGGGTTCAAAATACAGGGACGATATGCGAGAGAAGATGCATATTTGAATGGGAGTAATTTAATTCCATTTTCATCTGCAATAAAAAATCAATTGCAGAAGACGCAGACAAGAAGAGAGGTTAAAGGCAGAAAAAACATGAAATGAAGATTTGGAAGATGAAAAAAAGAGCAAACCTCTGGTTAATTCCTTCTACTTTTCGATTTCTGTTCCAGACCCTTAGTGGTAAGATCATATATTTCATATTTATGCACTGAATAAACTCCTTTGTCCTCTATCCACTATCTAGTTCACACCATCTACCATACAGGAGTGAGGAATCGCTGATGGAAGCTAACGTGGGGAGAAAAAGGAGGAGGGTTGCGGCCGTGTGCTGGTCTTGTGAACCGCCAATGGTTGAGGAGACAACCGACATTGCTTATGGACACTAAGATCCTGATCAGACAGAAACCCTTTTTAATAAGAGAGGGAGAGAAAGAACAAAGGAATGGAATAGAGGAACGACACATTCACCTGGGATCATAAGATAAAACCGAAACTCTGAAGTGGAAGGAATCAAGATGGAGCGGAGGAAACGTAGGGAAGAATTGGAATCCATAGGATCAAATGAAGCAATTGTTTTTACCAATTGAAAGATGGAAACATCAAACATCGAACGATCAATATATAGGCGGATGAGTACGACGTGATTTAGCAGTTACCGAATAAGAGGCATGGACGCAATCGTGGGTAGAAGAAGCAGGAGCAGGTTGAATGAACTGCAAACAACCGCCAATTTTGAGTTTATGCGGCTCAGATGAAAAGTTGCTTGAGTTTTAACGGCTGCGATTAGGGACGACGGTTTTCCGCTCACCGTGGTCCCTAGTATTAATAATTATTGATATATCAAGGCTTGAAAGGTCACAATAATATTGATATATCAAAAAATGCATTTTTGAGTGAAAATTCAATACAATGTACTTTTATCTATTAATTTTTTTCTCTTTTTCATACGTAAGCTATGTTTTAGTGCCGATTTATAAAATTTTGGATGATGTTGACGATGATGCGGACGAATAGACAAAAAAACTATTACTATTATTAGTATTAGTATTATTTATTAATCATACTCATCCCACACACACTAGTGGATTCAAAAAAAAAAAAAAAAAAAAAACATCTAACAGTGACAAAAAAAATTATATAATAATGGTGACCTTTTCAACACCAAACATATGGTCTTGAAAAAACTGATTTATTAGCTTTAAAACATTGCAAACACCTCTACTTTCTTTCTCTTCTCTATCCTCGTTTAACAATAGTTCAAACTTTGATTTGAGATATTGGTTTTTCTAATGTTCAAACTACTTAGGACTTTGTTTCTTTTCTTTAGATTTTGGGTCAACAAGTAAAATAACAAATATATTGCATTTTCTTATATAAAGTTTGGGGTAAGACTTAAGAGCTGATGTCAAGTGGGGCCATACACCGAGGCTCGGTCCGTAAGGGTGGGCAAGCTGAGGCCTACTTGCAATTGGTGTTAATAAACATAACTAGATAACAATTTACTAGATTACAAAGGGTATAAAAAAATCAAGATTACTTTTGTAATAGGAATCTATATCCCATTTTTATTGTAGTAGGCTAAATCTTCATGTTTGAATTCTCTCTTTCCATAAAGACAATGCTTTCTACAAGTGTCTACTCTTAGTTTTTCCTGCCTCTTTAAACTCTATAATTTTTTTACTTAATGAACTTGATTAGAGAATTATAAATAAGTGCTTCTTTTTACTTAATGAAGATACAACAACTTATCTATAAAAGCCATGGAAATTAAATAAGGTTTTTCCAGTTAAGTCCTAACTTTTTTAAAATTGCCCTCAGTTTTCTGTTTCCAATTTCCAAAGTGTGAATTCATTTTCTTAAATGTTTTTTAAACACCATTTACCTCAAAGTTTATCACTAACATTATAAGAGCACATCATATCACCTAAAATTAACAAATTGATAAGCTTATGCAAGTAACATTCACACAACCAGAGCACAAGAAATGTTCCTTTCTCCCAAAAACCAATAGGCACTTCCGGTGTTAGAGATTCAAAGATGCATAGATTTGTCAATTTGGGTACTGGAAACCAAAAACATATATAACCAATTCTAATTTCTAAACCCAATCATAGTAATCCTAATCTTCCTCATGAGAAAATTCATCAACATCGGACCCTCATCAATACATATCATCAAGCTGATCATCGTTGTATGTAAAGACTTTGATCCGTTCCATTCAACTTTTTACTAAATTTCTGTCAAGATTAAAGCTACAAATATAAATGCTTAGAGATTCAAGGTGAGCTAAGCCATCAACAATGGCCTGAAATACATCGTTTGGGATGTGATCACCATAAATATCCAAATGGCGTAAATCAGGCATGTTTTTTGCAATGGCAACCACATGATCTTCACATTTGACGAATGGCTCGTTGAACATGATACGTTTTTTTAAGGACTTGAGCTGAGGGCAATTCTGTCCGATAACTTCAATGTCTTGCACCTTAAGGGAATTGCAAGTAAACCAGAGTTTCTCCAATAGCGGTACCCTTTTGACTGCTTGAGTCAACCCACTACTTGTGATATCATGGCACCACCAAACACACAGATGTTTCAACTTACTTGAGCTGGACCCACACAAATTAAAAGAAACATTTAAAAGTTAAAACTATTAATTTAATTAAAACCAAACCAACTCAACATTTTTTCTATATATAGAGTCGTGTTAAGATGGGCTATTTGCTAATCTTCTACGAATATGTGTTTCACGACTTTCTTCCCAGCCATCACAAAAAGCCTAGAAAAATTAAATTGATAATTCATTGAATGATTGAATATGTTAGGACTTTTACTGAAATTCCATATATTTTGAAGGATCTATAGTATATTGGTAATATTCAACTAATTTGGGCAAGTTGCAACCACTATTCATCTAAGTGTGTGTGTGTGAGAGAGATGAATTCTATTATAGTTCCCATGTTCCAAATGTTAAGCGTATGCATCCAAATTAATACTCTATACCAAGGTTGTCAAGATCGGGATCCTACCTAGGATTATTTTTTGGTTTGCAAAATCGGGATTGTAAGATCGGGACCGGGATCCTAAGATTCCACAAAATAAAATATAATTTTAATTTATAATTTTTAATCATGAAAAATATTTCAAACATTCAATTTTTCGTTCAAAAGTTATAAAAACTTCAAAATATTAGTCATAAGCCACAATACAAAATGATAAATGGTAAATTGGAAAAGGGTAAAAGACATAAAGTGGTAAAATAATAATAATAATAATAATAAAATCAAGGGAAGGTAGGATCGGATCGGATCTCGATCCTGCGATCCTACCTACGATCTTACGATCTTACCTGCGATCCTAACCCAAATACGATCTTTTTACGATCCGGAACGTTTTTCATACCTAGGATCGTAGGATCGTACGATCGTACGATCAGGATCGCGATTTTGACAACCATGCTCTATACAGCACATATGATGAAGGAGATGCTAATTTCTTTTATGAAATTGAATAGCGATGGGAAGGGGATAACCTATCGCTGCACAATGTAATGAAGGAGATCATCAGTGCAAAAGCCCCCGATATTGATATCGACCAGTTCCCCACAACTGAGATTGATTGCATGCTTAGTCAGCATCTCGAGTTTGTGTTTCGTATCACAACCATACTGCAATTTGTTGATATTGATGAACTTCCACATCGTCGGATCCTTGCAAATTCCCCGCCACTTTCTGCATACTTGCCCTGCGCTCCTGAGTTTTTCCAAGCAACTCAATCTTCCAAGTATATTTTCCATCAGTTCGTTAGGCATTAACAACCAATTTGGATATTTCTTCATTGCCGACACGGCTGAGGTCGACGCCATTTTAACTATGCAATGCGAATTGCTTTTATCTGCCCTAACTAATCAAGGATCCCCTTTCAATCGGGAAAAATAAAATTGAGTACAAAAAAATTTACAACACTTTGGTGTCTACTAAAAATACCAATTAGCATAGTAATTTATCCCCATTCCACAATTATTCTAAGCGTGAAATACAGAACTGGTCCCTCCACTTTATAGAAAACTATGATTTATGTTTATATATTTTTTTTCTATCACAATTTTGTCTTTATATGTGAAGTTTGTTGCATTTTAATCCCTCGTTCATTTGAAATGAATCACGTACATTCCTATTATAATTCTTGTAAAGCTTTAACAAAAATACCATATTTTGAGGTAGGCACAGTTGATAGCAAATAGCGGTCGATAACGACAAGTTACATATATATTATGTAGCGATAACGATAAAATAGTGCCCGCTACTCAGGGCCAAATTCAGAAATTGAACATGAATTGAGGGCTGATTGTAGAATTGATGGCAAACTTTAGAATTTGAGCATAGATTGATGGTCGATTGATGACCAGTTTCATAAATTAAGGTCGATTTGAGCGTAGATTGATGGTCGCTACCATTTGAGATGATTGATAAACTTATTATTCACATGCTCAGGAGCATCACTCTTGGCAGCATTGGCGATGAACTTTTGCAGAACAGTTGAAGGAACGAGATTCTTATCCAAGACTCGGAAAAATTCTTTCGTGTTGGTCTTCTTTCTCATATAGATATATCCGAGTTTAGGTTCTTCAATTGGACCTTCTGCTAGGATTTGGGCTTCAGGCGGTTCACAAGAAATTTTCGCCAACGCTTTTTCTATTCCAAATAGGTATGCGAACTCGATGTTGGATCTGCAGAATTCAGATAGATAATCCTTCAAGAAGTTAATTGCAGCACTATATGCTCCAATGCTCAATTGATAATTTTGACGAATTCGAAAATGAGCAGCAATTGTGAGAATATCGTTGGGGTTGATAGATGGTAAATTTGCGTTCGTGAGAGTGATGGCGGCTTCTTTGTTCCGAGAAATGTGATAAATGTACAACATGCAATTCAGGTCGAACTTGCTCTGAACCATGTTTCCATACCCATCAATCTTTGTTATTCTCTTCTGAGACCACACTTCTTTATGAGGTTGTGCGTTAACAGAATAGAATACCTTCAACCTCTTTCTCTCGGTTCTGACGATAGTCTGAGGATCATCATTTAGATAAAGTGGAGCGAACTTGATGTAGTACTTTTCGAAGGGTGAGATTGGGAGATCGATCTGGTCGGAGTCTTGTGTGGGCAGATCAAAGTACATGAAGAACACAATATCTTGATCATGAATTATCCCTTCTCGGAAGAGTGGGGATATGCCCAACATCGAATTTGGATTATGTTTCAACGCTTGAGTCTGGATGCTTTCTTCAAGTGCTTGGTTTATTTGAGCTTGAGACCAGCCTTCGGACTTTCTGAAGGCCCTTGGAGTGCTGCTTGGTTCCGAGGAACCTTTCTTCCCTTTGTCTTGAGGCGATTTGTTCAAGACATAAATGACTTGTTGAATGGTTTCAGAGATAATGAACTCTGGAGGAGGATTGATCAGGGGCTCTTTTGGAATATCGTCTGGTTTCCGAACAAGAGAACCTTCATCAATTGGGATGATTCTCAGAGATGGGATAGGAGGTAGCATTGACTGAGTAGCTTGGAATGCATCGAGGGTGAGCTTCGTCTTGATTTTAGTCATTTCACGGCTTCTTTGAAGTACATCTGTCAAGGATGATGGCCAAGTGAAAGCGGACCATATCCTTATTTCTTCCCCCGAAAGAACCTTCTCCGAATATTTCTGAGGAGCTTGAAGTCCAACAATAGCGTTCATGATTTAGTTATATTCTTCTTCTTCTTCATCAGCAGTAGGAGGTTCCATGGATACAACCTGGATTAAGTCTCCATCATCAGATTTATCTCGGAGAGTGAAATCCAAGGCAGGTTTGCGTTGAATTGTCTGACCCTTGTGACTAGGTCCTTCTCCCCATCTTGCTTTGGAAGGCCCATCATCCGAGGCAAGTCTAGCAGTGGCTTGGACTTCAGATAATATTTCGAATACTCTCTGAAAACTCATATTTTTTGTTTGAAGAGAGCATCGTATGCTTCAGCAATGGGGGCTTGGGCTTTCAAATGATGAAACAAGGTGCCCAAGATAGAGAGCATTTCATCGAACTTGTTATTCAGAACGTCAATTATGTTCCAACAAGCTCGAAGGAGTTTAATCAGGATTTGTTGCATAATCAGGTTGAGTTCATCCTTCTTCTTGATTTCCTTCTCCAATCGTTGGATCTATTTCTCATGACGAACATGAGTCTGCTTCATGAGCTCGTTGCTAGCAGAAATCATGTCCTCATGAATCTTCAGCATTTCAGAAGTGATGGAGATGTGGTGATTTAAGCTGGAGTTGTATTTCTATTCTACTTTTTCCAAGGTGTGCTAGAATCTTATAGAGATGAGCTGATAAAGTTGATCTGCTCTTTCAGATTCTGAGGGCCCAGCTTGTTTAATCTTGGAATGAGATTTGAGAATGACATAGAGATTTGAGTCAAGGCGGGAGACTTTTTGATCAAGCTTGAAGTCTAGTTTCGCCATGATTTTGTCAAGAGAATCAACCTTGGAGACGGCATCAGCCACATTGTCTCGAAGTTCCAGTAGGGCAATTGGATCAACAATGTTCTCATCCGATGAGCCAGTGTCCGAGGTGGAACTTGTTGGATTAGGTGTCTAAGCCCATAACTATAAGTGGTATGTACTTGAATTGATAGCAGCACAGTCCTTTTGGGTTGCCCTCAAACCTAGCAACTGGACAAGGAAATTATGAAAGGAGAGATATTAATTTATAAGATTAATAAATTAATATAAATGATTTATTAATATGTTAAAAGATTAATATATTAATTAGAAATCATTATGTTTAATTAATAGTTAGCCAGAAATTAATCAGAATTAATTTTGGGGTTAAAAGTATTAATTATAAAGTGCAGGGACTAGTTTGCAATTATCTAATAGTTGAGTGGAAGGCTCCAGAACCTCCTTGGAAGGAGGTGGACGAAATCTATAGGGGAAACCCTAAGGATTTCGTCCAAGGGGGCTTGGATAAGGCCTTGGATTAACTTAGGCCCCAAGCAAAGGAGTATTAGGGTTTTCCCTAAACCCTAGATCCGTCAGCTATATAAGGAGCCTCCCAGCTCCTAAATTTGGTCACTCCTTCTTTGAAGAAACCCTAGGGCCGAAATTGCATACTCCCTCTACCCTTTCTCCTCCAAGTTTCCTTCTTGCTAGTTCTTGGGTGTGATTCCATTAGAGGCATTGCATTTGTGGTGCTAAGCTTCCAAGAAGATCAAGATCAAGATCAAGAGGATTATCAATTGTTTGCTATAACAATTAAAAGGTATGTAACTCCTAAACCCTAGTTTGTTAATTTCGAAATTAGCCTCTCTCCTCTAGGGTTCTTGTTTTGCAATTCAAAGTTGTATGTTCAATAGTTAAAACATAGATCCAAAGTAGGTTGCATGTGAACTTAGGAATTGTTTCTTGGTTTATTTGTTTTACCTAAAACCTATCAGTGGTATCAGAGACATTGTTTGTTTTAAATTGAATTGCTATAATGGTTGAATTGCAAATTAGGGTTTATAGCCATTAAACCCTAAAGGCCAAAATTTTCGATTTTAGGGTTTTGGTTCAAAGGGTTTTCGAAAACCCTAGCCTCCATGAACCCTAATCGAATTAGGGTTATAGTTTTGAAAACCCTAGCCTCCTCCCTTTAAAATTTCGAAATTTGCTTATCCCTTTTAGGGTTTCTTTGTTTTGGATAATAGTTGCCTTATTGGATAATTGAGAAAAATAAGGAAATTATCCTATCCCCATATTTTCGAAATCTAGAAGGGATATGGATTAGGATTAAATTAATTGTTTAATTTGATTAGATAATCCTTACAAGATTTAATAAATTGATTAAAAGTTAATCATCTCATCCCCTAAATTTCGAAATTTGCTAGTTATTTTAGGGTTTTATCTTTTTTTTTGGATAATTATTGCCTAATTGGATAATTGAGAAGAATAAGGATATTATCCTTTACCCTAATTTTCGAAATTTAGAGGGATAAGGATTAGGATTAAATTAATTGTTTAATTTGATTAGATAATCCTTACAAGGTTGATTAAAAGTTAATTAATAGATAAATATTAAATCTAGTTATTTGGTTTATTTTAAATTTAAAATTAATGGCTTAATTTTCGAAATTTATATATAAACCTTAAAGTTTTAAAAAGTTTAAAACACACCTTATATATATATATATATTATAATTAAAAGTTTAATATTATATATGTATAAGAATATGGTCAGTCAAATCGCTAGTATGCCTCATTCACGAAGCTAGTCTATAAGGGGGGTATAAGGAAACTGCCTATAAAATGGTAGTTGAATGGGTGTCCACTCTCACCCACCGCTTCCTTGATTAGTGGAGGGTCGTTAGCAGAACGGGTTTGATAGGACAACTACATCTCATTAAAAGTATAATGTTATTAAAGAAAGTACTAGAACATTATTTTACAAAATCCCAACTCTAGTTACTTTAGGAAAAATGTGAAAAGTATGCTAATCCATGAAATTGCACATTATGCTTTATTGGTCGTTAGTGGAGCGTGTGTGGTTAACCAGCACACTAAAAGGCACTAATAAAGAGTAGTAATAGGTATCTCATAATTGTCATTTTGATGGAGCATGTGTGGTTTACCAGCACATCAATAGTTAATGATAAAGACAATGAGGTTACCAAGCACATTTGCATGGTTATTCACATCTTGTTTGTGATCCTCGGCATCCCAGTCACAAATAGAAGAGCATAATCCGAGATTTAAACATGCCATTGAAAAGTTCAATGAATCTCAAAAGATCTAGGAGTTTCCAATACATTTAAAACTTAACCTTCTTTTTCGTTTTTCATGGTGGAAATTG